ACCAACATAATGCACTAATTCAAACAACTATAACTTCCTTGAGGGAGAATATTTCTTGAAGGATACTTTGGTTTATTTACCAGTTATGCAATGAGAATATTTCTCCAACTATATTCTCTTTAATCCTAAATGCACATTCTTTTTAGCTAAACAATTAAGTCATTTTTCACTTATATGACAAAGTCTTCGATACCACAAAGATATCTCCATAATATAGCATTCACATTGTCATTAGCAACCAAAATTTTAGTTCAATACAATTTAAAATTTTTCTCCCCTCTAATCATTACCTTTAAGAGTTTTTATTTACCAAACCAAAGTGATTGTCATAATCGTTATCATCAAGCAAAGGCACAAATCATATTAAAATACACATCTGCAACATGTTTGACTCATCTAAGTAATAAATGCACTCTCATGTTGGTTAGCAAACAAACACCAACAACTTTTGACATACCATCATTATCCATCTTCAAAACTCCAAAATAACTAGAACTATAAAGAACTCCTTCATCAGTGTAACATACAATTTAACACTAGTATCAATTATCTATATGTTCTCATCAGATACAAGATTGATAGACTCATAGTCACAAAGAAGCACAAAATCATCACATGTAGTAGTAATATGATCATCATCATGATCATACTCTTTTTTATTACCCTTGTCTTTATTTTTTTTGTTCCACTTAAGATAGTATCTTTGGATGTACTTAGGTTTATTATAATAATGATACTTCACATTCTTATATCTTGATTTGAATTTTCTCCTGATATTCTTTCTACCACTCTTCTGTTCCTTTTTTTCCTTTATTTTTTGTGACAAACACCTCAGATTGAGACGAAGAACCATGTGTCTTCTTTCTCATCTCTTCATTAAAAACATGACTTTTTATCATTTGAGTTTGTAATTAAAACTCAAAATATCTCACAAGACTCAAACAGAGTATTCAATAGTTATAGTCTCAAACTTCATCATCAAAGTTGATACTCATTCTTGAGAACTAATCTAAGAACTCTTAAAACTCATTTAAGTTATAGAATTCTCCTTATACTTCAAATTCATTTAAGTTGTCTAACTTAGAAGCACACAAGGACTCAATCTTCTCCCACAATGTTCTAGCATGTGTCTCATTAGCAATGTGATTATAAACATTATCTTCTACATATACCGAATAAAACCACACACATGTTGGTGCTCAAAGTCTCACTCTTCATCAAACATAGAATCCAATTTTTGCGTAGCTAAGCCTAGAAGATGTAATTTCTTCACAAACAACAAATCCTTCATCTTGTCCTTAAATGATAATTTGTACCATTTAAAGCGATCATATTTGTATTTGCCTCCATCATTCAAATAGTAAATATAGTCTCAAACTAAGAGCTTTGATACCACTTTAGTAGGGAAAATAACATAATAACAAAAAAAAATACCAAAGTATGTAAAGGAAATAATTTCTCCAAATTTGCAAGAATATATGAAGAGCAACAACAAAAGAAAATGATAAAAATAATCATAAAAAAGAACCAAATATTTTTAACTTGGAAAAAACTTTCAATAAGTAAAAATCTATGAACACAGATTAGTTGATTAAGCTCCACTACTAAGATCAAATATAAGTATAAGAAAATCAAATCAAATGCATAAACAATCTCCAACAAACAATCAATGTATGCTCTCAAATCTAAAGAACAAAAAAAAAAAAACCTAAAAATAACAAGAATGCAAGATTGATTTCTCCAACCACAAACTTCTAATTGACGATCACAATTGTCAAAATGAAGAATCATATACCACAAACATGCTTTCAAATTTTAATTCGATCCAAGCATAAGCAGAGCGAAAATCATAATTTTATTGAGGTAGATTGACAAATATGCCAAATAATTTGTTTTCTCTTCTTAAGTTTGTGACAATTTACACTCTTTTATCTAACCTAGAAGACTCATCTTTACTTAGGTAAATGAGATAAAATTGACTTAACTAATTCGAATTTATGAGACAAATAGTTAAGAGTCTAACTCAACAACACTTAGGTATTATTTGCTTTAACACTATATTTCATTACAATTTTATCTTTAAAAAAACATCTTGATAATTTAAAAGAGAAGAGTGGATATAAACTATTTATAATTTCGACTTCTAAGCAATGTGAAATTAATGAGCGTACGAGAAACAAAGATAGAGAAATAAACTTATAATTTTTACAATGACAAAATTGCAAACCGTCTCATACAATTTTTGCACGGAAAAATTACAAACTCTCTCGTACAATTTTTGCATAAAAAAATTGCAAATTCTTTCTTGATACACAACTATCCAAGTCCTCAATACATCTAAAAACTAGTGTTGTTGTGGTGAATATATCCAAACTATCACCCCTTATTTATAGTAGTAGTCTACCACTCCCTCCCTCAAATTATCTGATATGAGACTTTGGAAGATACTTACACACTTTGGAGGATACTCACACATTTTTGGCACAACATGTTCTGACCTCACGTCCGTTATGATAACATCGTTAGGGTCTATTACCTTATCTCGATGTATAGTCTGTTTTGAAATTCTTTATCATGATTTTATCCTTAAAAAATGTTCTAAGAAGGATATATATATATATATATATATATATATATATATATATATATATATATATATATATATATATATATATATATATATATATATAAACTATCCTTAATATTAACTCTTAAAAATAAGGAAAAATTGTATTCCTTGATAAGGTAAGCATCGATCTTTTTTGCTCTCCTCAATGGTCACTTGGAGTTTGGTACGAGGGTGAGGAATGTGGTGTTTTGTTTCTCATATTCCAGATCCAGTGCAGAACACTTCCATTTTCTATAGGAGTAACTCCCATTATAAACTTGAAGCTCTTGTAATGATCCAGCAGGTTTCCTTCTATAACCTTAAAAGTTCATCTTCTTTTCCATGTCAATGCTTTCAACCATCTCCTTCCCCACACACGTTTTTCCCTCTATTATTGTCCAAAACCAAATTAATAAAAAAATTAAATAGTTAAACCAAAATTAAATTACGTGAATAAGACAGTTATTAACCAAACATTTCCATACACACCATATATATAAGTCCAGGAAATGATGGATTTCAGTGACCCATTCACCTTCATCAAATTCAACAGATTGCACTCTCAGGATAAATGTTGGCAATAGGGTGCGTTCTGTTGCAGAAAACATCATAAAACTGTTCACAACAAGCTTTTGATACGAACATTAGCTTCCATCTTTTGAAGAGTTGTTCATATATTTTTGAAAACAATGTCACAAAACAGAATGAAACAAAGATAAGATTTCAATACATTTTTACGTACATATTTAATAAGAATCCGTGATATTGTCACATATGAGATAATGATGAAATTTTGTTATCTCTAAGTATAAAAAATTTAACTTAGAAAGTAAACATAAATATATAAATTTTTTTAAGTAATATTTTAATTTAGCACAAATTATTCACCGGAAAGGTATCTATTACAATATATAAAATTAAAAAAACTTGGATATCGTATTATAATCTAATCAAGCATTAATTGATGATAAGTGAAAGATATTTCGCAGAAGAAAAATCGAAATAAACTATACAAATTTCTTTTCAGCATTCCCTACAAACATATATACTATATTATATTCATCCACCTTAGTTATTAAAGGAACAAAGTCTTTGCATGTCAACAAAACCACCACAAACATCTTCTATATATTCTTTACTTTCCATGTCTGGTTTCTGATAAAGATGCTCACAATAATTGATTCTGGGTCTCAAAAAAGCACAAAAAAGAGTAGTCATCATAAAGCAGAAGAAAGAGTAATCATGATATAAAATTCTTGGAATATATGACCGTTGATATAATGTATATATAGCTAAATTGAAGAGCCAACACTTTTTGCTGTTAATTGCCAAACAACTTGGTCCATTGAGTTAATGTTTGTTGATAAATATTGAGTCTTCTTTATTTATACATAGAACACTTGTTGAATAATTACATCATCAATTAATTCTAGGTTTGAATCATTGTTTTAGTTAGAGTTGAATTATGTTTTTAATAAATTAAATGAAATGATGATTTAGAATTTCTATATATATATATATATCTTATAATTAAAATTTAGGTATTTGAATTAATAAAATAAAAAAGAAAATTAACTATTATTTTTACATAAAGTTTATATTGTTAGGTTTTGGCTATATAATAGATTAAAATTTTTTAAATTTTCAAATTTAACACTTTGAAAATTGAATCTAAAATAAATCACTAATATTCTTTGAAAATATATTCTAATTTTTTTTATACGGCATATTGTTATGTTAAAAATTATTTTATCCATTTAGATAAAAAAAATACATAAAATCATAATAATATTTTTATAACAAGGCTAATAGTTTTATACTAGAGTGTGTTTTTTATGCTCAAGAAGTGTTTTATATATAAGTAAAAAAAAATTTCAATATTTATCAACAAAATATTAACTCAGTCAAAGTCAACTAAAGATCATTTTATAAAAAAACTACCTATTTTATAAAGATAATTTAAATAATTTAATATTTCAATAATATATTAATATAATAATTTAATAAATTAAATAATAATCATATTATTAATATTAATATTGTGTAATAATTTATCACTCAACCTATTAAGGATTGAACTGAGATCTACAAAATATAATTAATTCATAACAATAATTCGTATCGTTTATTTTTCACTCTAAAAAAATTAAAATATAAATTTATTATCCCACGTTATTAAACAACTTATTATATAGTTCAATCCCTTAGGTTAGAAGAAGACATAAAGAAAGTACAAGAGGCAAATTATTAATTAAGCTTTTAACATATATAATTGATGTGATGAAGGGACAAGTATACATGTCCCAGAAAACATCAATTTTATTTGTGAGATAACAAGAACATAGAACATAGAACATAGTACATGGTACAAAAGCTTCAGAAATACATTGATTTAGTTGGTGTTCATGGTAAGGTGAACATCAAGCATGTTGCTCTCCAGAATTAGCAACTGCAACATGGCCTGAGGGTCAGAAACGAGGTCGTTTTGTTTGTCATATTGTATGACCCAATGCACCACACTTCCCTGCTCCTCTGGAGTAACTTGAAGAATGAAGTTGAAGGTCTTGTAAAGTTCCAACAAGTCTCCCTCTATAACTCTGAACTTCATTTTCTTGTTTTTCTTGTCAATGTCTTCAACCACCTCCTTACACACACAACGTTTCCCCTCTGTGTTTTGTCCAAAACCAAACACCACACATCATTATTTTTCAATTATTCTGTGAATATTAAATGCATGGTTGTTTTTGAAGTGGAAGTTGTCATACCAAGTGAGTAATACCAGCAGATGATCGATCCCTCGCTGCCCCATTCACCTTTCTGAATCTCCACACACTCTATTTGTTCAGGCAAGATGCTGCCAAAATGGTGTGTCTTGTTGCAGTAAACGTCGAAGAACTTCTCTGCAGAAGCCTTGATATTCACCTTGGTTTCCATCGTTGCAGATTTCTCCATTTTTGCTTCAAGAGGATCGAAAAGTTGCATATAATGATACACAAATATCTGCATTTTATAGGTGAAGAGACATTGCTATTGAGGATTGAATATTTTAAACATGGAAGTAGATAATTTTGAGTGTTTCAATGGATGTTGATAACAAACAAGAAATAAATTAAAATAAAAGATGATAGCATTCAATTAAAGAACGTATGAAAAGTTGGCTAAGAACAAAATATGGCGGTGCTGGCATGCATCTATCTTATACATGTTTGGCTGTGCATAAAAATGAAGCGGTGGAGTATTATAAAATTTGAAGCAACTATTTTGGTCGAATCATATCGTGTTGGAAAACATGCAAAATATCAATATCTCATAGCTATCATATTTACAAATACTGTTAAAGTATCTTTTGTTAAACCATAGCTTTTATATTTCCATCAAATAAAAAAATATTAGATTTAAAAAAAATTCAAAAATATAAAAAATTAATCTCACGTTTCAATACCTTTATATTTACGATAAAGTGAATTGCATGAATAATTTATAATAGAAGAATAAAAACTATAATAAAAAATAACCCTGAGAAGAGATGACTATAAAAACAGTGAATGCAAGAAGATATTTATATATTATGATGTAGTATTATATATATTATATCAATTCAATTAAAACTTGATGTACCATATATTATATTGGTTCTAATAGTAATTAATATATTATTATGATCATGAATTGTTTTTGCATGGATTTTCATCAACAATGATGTCATTTTCCTCGTGTAAAATCAGGTTCTAACAGGCACACAGAACACAAATAATACAACACAACATAGATGTGCTCAGGTCACTCCTACTAGTGGCTGATGCACTTTATTATAAGCTTTTAATACATAAGATTGATGCAATTAAGGGGTGATTGATTAAGCCCCATAATACATCATTATTTCAAACATAGTAACAGCATATCACACACGAGAGCTTTATGCATATTCTTAGTTTTTTCCCTGAGTGAGGTAAGAATCAATTTTCTGACTCATCTCAGTTGCCATTTGCAGTAAGGCATGAGGATCAGGAGTGTGGTTTTCTTTCTTCTCATATTCCAATGCCCACTTCACCACACTCCCCTTTCCCTTTGGAGTCACTTGCAAAATGGTCTTGAAGCTCTTGTAATGTCCCAGCAGATCTCCCTCTATAACCTTGAAGTGTACTTCATTCTTTTCCCTGTCTATGCTTTCAACCACCTCCTTAGCCACACAAATGTTTCCATCTGTTGTTCAAAACCAGAAAACAATATTCATGTACGTTTCCATAAACATACTGCTGCTAAATACTTAAGAATAAAATTTAATCTGTCCCTTGTCGTTGTGTATACTGATTAATTACTTTTGCTGATAAAGGTTTGAAGTGGAAAATTTCCATACCATTTATGTAATTCCAGGAGATGATGGAACCCTCAGTGCCCCATTCACCTTCATGAATTTTAACAGACTTTATAGTCTCAGGTGAAATGTTGGCAATATGGTGTGGCCTGTTGCAGAAAACATCATAGAAATGTTCAGCAGAAGCCTTGATATGGACGCTAGCTTCCACCTTTTGAAGTTGAGAGTATGCCATATTTGCTTCACTCCTAACAAGGTATGGAACATAGGTAGGTATTACAACTATATATATACTTGTAGGGAAACTTAAAAACACAGATTGGAATATATGTTAAAGGATTATGTGCTTCAAAATTTGGACTGAACCACACCACTTGCAGAGGAGGCATATTCTTTTGCAATAATAATGTGGTTCTATGGGTTCACATATCAGAAAAGGAATAAATTATAATCTAAAGTTCTTGCTGAAAATGGCAAAAGCTATGTCCCATGCACAAATGACAAAAGTGGCTAGTTTGGAACTTAAACGAGAGGACAAGTAAGTAATTTTAGTTGTTCCGGCTACTTTATCAATCGGACCACATATTTTATTTATAAACCTGTTTTAAAAAAAATTTATATATTAAAATTAAAATTAAAATAATAATTAAAAATATTATATCTCTTATATTATTAAAATATATAAAAATATATCATAATATTATAATTTAAATTATAAATATTAATTAATTAAATTTAAATTATTAATTACAATTAAGTATTTTTAATCTATAAATATAATAATTTTTCTAATGAAAATATTAATTAATAAATAAAAACTTAAAAATTATTTATATAATTAAAAGTATATTTAAAAAAAAATGATTATGCTTTTAATATATAATTAATGGAAACAAATAAGAAAGAATGAAAGAATATATAAGACACCAAATTTTATTTGAGAAATAGCAACATAAAAGGGATATGAGGTTTGTAATGACATTGATTTAGTTGTGGTGGTGAGTAAGGTATTCATTGATTTTTTTGCTCATCTCAACTGTGATCTGCAATATGGCATGAGGATCTGGAATGTCATGTTTCTGTTTCTGATATTGGAAGACACAATGCACAATGCTTCCATTTTCCTTTGGAGTAGCTTGTATTATAATCTTGAAGCTCTTGTAATGTTTCAGCAGTTCTCCCTCCATAACCTTGAAGCTTATTTTGTTGTTTTCCTTGTCTATGTCTTCAAGCATCTCCTTAACCTCAGTAACTTTCCCCTCTATTGTTCTCCAATAAAAACACACGTTTTATATTAGATCATGAGTGCTAGTAAAACCACTTTTCACCATAAAATTTTGCAGTAAAAATTAACTTACCATGCAAATAATTCCAGGATATGATAGATCCCTCAGTACCCCATTGACCTTTGTGAATTTGAACAGACAGTAAGTTATCAGGGAAAATGCTGGGAATTTGGTGTGTTTTGTTGCAGAGAATATCATAGAACTGCTCAGCAGAAGCCTTCATAATCACTTTTGTTTCCAGCTTTTGAAGTTGAGTTGATTCCATTGCTTCACTCCTGATAAGAATGTGTAAAACCAGTTCAAAGATTTACCTAATTATGGTTCACAAATATGAGCGTTTTATAGGTGAAAGATCAGTGATGCATCATTACATTAATATTAATAACAATTAGGAGAATAATGATGAACTACCACTTTCATGGCATCTTGGACTTAATCTGAATTTTTGAAATATTGTATTTGGGTAGTTGTTAAGGAATTTATGCTCGGAAATGTCACCTGAACCACCGTTAGCGGAAGCATCTGCTTTGTTATACAGATTCTGGCTATGATGAAGATGCTGCCAATATATATATATATATATATATATATATATATATATATATATATATATATATATATATATATATATATATATATATATATATATATATATATATATATATATATATCTTTTAACACCATCGATCATGGGAAGTTTTTTTTTATTATTAGAAATTTATGACAATATGTACGTATAAATGTTCTGTATAATTGAAAAGTATCTGTATTTTATCATATTAAAACATTTTAAAATTGTTTTTGGGAAAGTTAATAATTTTGTAAGATGCTGACCTTAAAAGCTATGTTTTACAGAAGCGTCTGCGTAGATTATTGAATAATTGATGAGATTATTTAAAGCATCATAAATTTTTGGTCTTTCTACATCAAGAAAAATCGAATTTTCTGACATACAAAATGTGTCGTTAAATATATATTACCGAAGGATTATCGACTGTCCTAAATTTATCGGTAATAATATTGTTGGTAAAATTTACCGACGAATTTTGGTAATCTATGGGTAAATATCATGGGTAATTACCGACAAATTGTTCCGTGGATAATTTACCGACGGATATATCCATCGGTAAATACCCATTACATTACTAACAGATTTTACTATTCCATCGATAAATGTCATAGTTACTTACCGATGGATATTTCCGTCGATATATGTCATAGATAATTACCGACGGATAATGTGTCGGTAAATCCGTCGATAAAACCACCTCTAATTCTAGAGCAGTTTATTTTTTTTTCATCCCATATAACCTGTAAAATAAGATTCAATCCAGTCCAATTCAATAATATATTCAACAATTCAATTAAACATAAATCTAACTCACCTTAATCATAAGTAAATTCAAATGTACTGTAATTTATGCATAATGAAACATAATGTATAATCCTAAAAAGAGTATCAACATACAAGTAGAATTGAAATATTATTCTATAGATGTTTGTATAACATTTAATAATAAGAATAATCAGGAGAATGATGTTCAGGTATGTTGTCGTCCTGTGGTGGGTTATCTTGTTGCTCTTCATTCAATTGTTGTTGTTGGGGTTGTTGTTCATCATCTGCTTCACTATGTTGACGTTGTTGAACAAGAGCTTGTGCACTGGGGGGTAGAAGATGACCGACAAGGAATTGAAACTCTCTGAATTGGTGCTCTAGTCATTCATTTTGCTCCCTTATTCGACGTATTTCTTCTTCTTGTACAGATAATCGCTGTCTCAACTGATTAATCTCTTCTAAGTCAACTGAGGAGCTGGATGCTTGAGTTTGATGCTTCAAGCTATCTGAACCACCCTGATAGCCATCAGCAAGTTGTCCAACCCCATACAATCTTCCTTTATTCTTACCTCCAACCACCCAACAACAGGACCTTATAACTTCATCATGTGCAGTATCAACAGGAGTGGACTCAGGTTCACCAACACAAGATCCAGCAGATGACCTAGCTTGTGAAAGTCTAGTTTCAAATTCCTCCTATTAGTAGAAACAAATCAATTATTAACATGATTATTAACTTTACATAATATACAAAGTTTAACATGAAGGTTCTCACATGTGTCTTCCTAGATCTTTCATCAATAAATTGACCCGTCTTCCTCCTAATATGAGTATGTTGGAAGATCTCATCAATAAAAACTGATCTTCCAAGCTCCTTTGCCTACATTACATAAATAATTTGAGATATAAAACTCAATAAATTTTTCAAAATCGTAAATGTATGATATAAAGACTTACCATTCGTATGGCATGCTCATGTGTGCTGATAGAGCCACTTGTGTGAAGGCTCCCACCCTTTTCAGATGCCTTATTTTTTTGGGCTTGTGCAGATTTGGACCGATACATTGGTGAGTTCCAATGTGCTAGCAAATTGCTCCAAACGTGATCTCCATTCCAGTCTGGTCTTTGACCAGCAATTCTTGCATCCCTAAACATCTCACTAAGTCTGTGAGATGCTTTGGAATGAAAATTCTTCTTTATTTAATGTTCATGCTCTGGTCTCCACTGAACCTTCATCTATAAAAGTATAAATTGTTATACACATTATAGAAAAATGACTACAAAACATATATTCAATAATTATAGATATATACATTAATGGAAATCAATAGTAACATTAAACATCCTTCTAATAATTAAGTATGTATAGAAGATTAAGTTATCTTAAAACGTTGAAAAAATGACTCCTTATCACTATTAGGTATCACTCCCCGTGTGGCCTAAGGTTGAAGAAATTGTTGTTTAATACTCTTTGTTATAGCTTGTGATGCAACTCTGGATGGAAGAAACCTAATTACAAAGAAAAATTAATACAAGTTACATATGTGCTGAAAATGACTAAAACTTAGTTATAGTAAATAAATTGGAGAATTTAAATTAAATATTACCCTCGACCATAAGGTTCAATCATCGGTCGATCATGTATAGCAGGAACATCTTCTTCAACCTCTGAATCAACATCTACAGTAGGTGAGTGACCTTGAGAGGAGGAAGGTCCTGAGGCCACGATAGGGGATGGAGATGGAGAAGGAGTGGGTGCCACAAATGGAGAGGAGGAAGGTGCTGACGCCACAACAGGGAATGAAGATGGAGAAGGAGTGGTTGCCACAACTGGAGAGGAGGCGGGTGCCACAACTGGAGAAAGGGTGGGTGCCACAATTGCAAGAGAGGATGGTATGGGTGGTAAAATAGAAGTGGATAGTGTGGGTACAATAGGTATAAGGGGTGAAGGGGATGGTGTAGGTCCTACAACAGAGGATGGCGATGGTATGGGTGCAACGGGTGTGGATGATATATGTGTAATGGATGGTGTAGGTGTACTGGATGGTCTAGGTGTAGTGGATGGTCTAGGTGCAGTGCATGTGGAAGGTATATCTGTGGAAACCACTTTCAAAACGTAACGTGGTCTCTTTTTCTTTGATATCGCCTTCCCCTTCCCTTTATCACTACCAGAGGGTGGGGGTCGAGGTGGGTCAGAACCTCCTATGGACATATCTATACATAAAAAAAATAAGATTATGAATAACTTATTATGTAAAAACTCATATAAATTAAGGGACACTCAGTTAATAACATAATTCATAACAAATAAGGGTACACTATGTTTTTTTTTACAAAATCAAAACATTTATGTTTCTAATTTTCTTGAAACATTAGGCTTCATCCTCATTATCGTCATCCTCATCCTCTTCTTCTTCCTCTTCCTCTTCCTCTTCCAATTCTTCAGGATTAGCTTCATAGTCATGTAATCCAAATATGTTTTCCACTTCAATGACTTCATTACCATGTAACATTTCATCTACTTGGTAAGGGGCATCCTTTTCCACACCATCAGAATCAATACGACCTCTTGGTTTTGTTTTGATTGCAACACACCAACCATGCTTGTTTATTCGAAATGATGGATATGGAACATAATACACTTGTCTTACATTATGTGCAAGGATAAATGGATCAAATGGTTCATATCTTAAACCCATTCGAATATCCACAATATTATATTTAGGATCCACTTTTGTACCTCTTCTTGATGGATCAAACCATTCACAATAAAAAATCACAACTTTTTTTGGAGAACTTGAAGTATTGTACTCCAACTCATATATTTTCATAATTACTCCATAAAAATAATCTTCACCACTTTCTGTCAAACCCTTAACATAAGCACCGCTGTTTATTGTCTTTTTTCCCTTGCTCCATGCATTTGTATGAAATTTGTATCCATTCACAAAATATGTGTGTCATTCTTTAACGCATCGCATAGGGTGATTGGATAAATCCCTTAGGTCTTGATTCTTCACACTAAATGGCTCATTATGGATCTACAAATATAAAATGAACCAAATGTTACATTAATACCTATATACCATATTTAAAAGAGAATGGTAACATACATACTTGTTGCCTAAACCATGTAGGAAATTCTGCATGAATCCTAGCAGATGCTTCTGATTCACTTATTTGCTCTGATTGCAAGAATGAGATGTCCAAATAGAAAATGCTAAAAGGTTACTTTAAGAATGTGACAAAGAATTTAATAATGAAATTGAAAATATATGTGTTTTGAATGTACTCAAGGTATGATTTAACTTCTTGACAATTGATTAATACATGAACATGAGCTGACTTGAATTCATCATCAGTTAACCAATGAGTCAACTCCCGCCCAGATGGACGACCAACTTGTCAAAATACTGATAACACTGACAATTGTGTTTGACTTTGGAAATATATTTCATTTCTAGGTTGTCGTGGTGACAACATGAAGTTATTGAAATAATGAGAACAAAAGTATATCGTCTCACGATGCAAGTAAGCTGCACAAATTGATCCTTCAACTTTAGCCTTATTTTTTAGCGATCGTTTAGACTCCCCCATGAATCTATACAATTTAAGAAGCAAGATTATGATTGATCAAACTAATCAAAATAACATAGAAAACACGTATAGGACAATCATTTCATCACCTTTCAAATGGATACATCCACCTATATTGCACTGGTCCACTGAGCCAAGCTTCATATGGAAGATGACTAGGGAGATTGAAGCACTTGTTGGATTTGATGAAGACATATAGAGTTTATAGAATTTATTTTGTGGGTGTGTAGGTGAATAGGTTATAGGTTTAGAATTTAATCTCTTGATAGTTCAATATATCTTGTGATAAGCACCTTTAAAATGATGCATCTCATTGAACTTATTTTACTACATGGAAAACCAACCTTTAAGCATTAAAAGAACAAACTGAGTTTTTCAATCTGTTAAAAAGAAGTTTCAATCTGTTAAAATAACTTAAAATAGGAAATGTCCATATGTTGTCAAAATTTTAATTGATTGAATCGCAGAATCAACAGGTTAAAATGTTCTTAATGATTTTTTCATATTAAAGGTTTCGCAAATTTAATCTGTTGAAATCAAGTTCAATCTGTTGAAACAGAGAGATGTTATTTTTCACTTTGAAGTATCTCATAATTTCAATCTGTTGAAATTAGTTTTAATCTGTTGAAACAGAGAGATTATTTTTTCATTCTAAGGTATCACAGGATTTCAATATGTTGAAATATCTTTTAATCGATTGAAACAGAGAGCTACCATTTTTTCTAAACTGTTTCAATCCATTGAAAACTCGAATTAAC